AAATTCAATTTATATCAATTAAAATTCTATAATTACAGTTAATAAATTAAAATTATCAAACGGATCCGAAAAATTACCAAAATTTAATGTGAACCAATCTACTGTCACTTTGACTCCAAATCTTACCGGATCCTTCTCAACGCTACGATTCTTCTTCAGAGATGCTTCGGTTTGTAAATGTCGTACGTGACAAATTGTGCGAAACCTTCTCAATTTTTTCCAGTCTCCACGTATGATATCATGAGATCTTGACAAATCTCGTCATTTTCAGACTTCGTTTGTTTTTTTAGAATTTAAAAACCATTCGGCCACACGTTCGTGGTCGTGTTCCTGAACAAAATGTTCGAAATTTCTTTTCATTTCCTGAGTAAGGCCCCAAAATGGACTCAATAACATGAATATGATTTCTCCACACAATTATTCCATTATTTGAATCACTTGTAGTTCAAATTTGACTTAAACCAAAAAATTCCTCTAAATACAATAAATTAATTAAATATAGCAAACAGATTGAGAAATATGCCAAATTTTAACATGTAGTACCACATGTTGTATGTGGAGAGTAGAAAAAGTTTGGAGGGCAGGAGAGGAAAAAAATATTATTTTGCCGAGTGTCAATAAAAAACACTCGGCAACAACATCAGTTTGCCAAGTGTCAATAAAAAACACTCGGCAAACCTTGTCTTTGCCGAGTGTCTCTAACGGACACTCGGTAAAGTTATAACGGCAGGGCGGCGCACCCAACGGCCGTCACATGACCGCCGCATGCCCAGCGCACGTGCCTCTACTTTGCCGAGTGTCCGTATTTGCCGAGTGTTTCGTTGTAGTTTGCTGAGTGTTTTTTATTAGACACTCGGTAAAGTTGGGTTTTGCTGAGTGCTATATGTTTGCCGAGTGTTGAATTAAAAACACTCGGTAAATAGGATGTTTGTCGAGTTCTCGATGGAATGCACTCGGCAAACCCTCAGACACTCGGCAATTATACTGTTTCCGGTAGTGCCTCTCAGACAATTCCTCCCCTGAGAACCAACATAGTTTTGAACATAAAAGGACCTTGGTTTATTTGAATAGCACATCTTATATAATGTTATCTAGTAGAAGAAGCACAGTTGGTTTTCTATTAAATCAATTTCACTTAAATCTTTTGTTTCAATGATCATAAAAAGGAAAATCCTCTTAGAGCCCCTTCTAGATATGTTCTTATAATCTTTTTTTGATAATATCGAAGTCACCATCTATCAGTATTGGTTGTTTTGAAACTGTTCTTTGTCCTCTTCTTGCAACACCATACACCAGTTCACCAAATGAAGTCTTGAACCCATTTGCTTTATGTCTAACTAATACTTTGACAGAAAACCTGTAGTCCTTTGTTTCCCCCAACCTCAAAAGTTGCCTATGTAACACCAACTATATTCCCACCAGGCTACCTTTAGCAGGTAATAAGGCATGCCACATGAACTATGATTGCCGCTGATACTTTAGCCCAGTGCTCTGAACTAGTACTTCACCTCTCTCATGGTTAGGAACTGACATCAACAGTCAAAGAGTTTATATACATCATAGTCTATAGCCGTCCGCTTCTAGTTCCAGTCAAACATCAGGTAGAAACCCTTTTCCAACTCAGACCGATATATCCCATCCTGTACTTACAGCAGCGCTAGCACATTCATCTTCTTATGATTATACAGATTTTAGTGATTAACTTGGCCATACACATCCTTCTGTCACGTGACAATATTCTCCACAGAAGATACATACCACCGTTTCTTTGCATCCTTTGATTCCATACCCCAGTTTTCTAGACTTGAGAAATGACCCTTTACTTCTGTGTGCTTTGCATGGCCAATTGACTCCTCAGTCAACTGTTTTGGTAATGTTCTTCTATGGCTCCTTTGTTTACATTGCCTGCGCTACTATATGAAGTTTTACAACCAGAGCCACCATCCAGCAGAACGATGCAATCATGTTTTTTTTTTCTGGAGTATTGCTTCCCAATTCGACTGTAGTTTCAGATATCTTTGGAGTATGTTGGGGCATAGCGGTATCCCATTTATTGTTTTCCTGACTGTATCCCATTTCTTCGTAACAATCCAAAATCAGTGCAAAACTGGGAACCAGCAGGAGGAAACAAGGTTGAAATTGGTAGGAGCCTTTTCTTGACTGATTCTTTGGTATCCCGTCTTTAACCAGGAATTTCCTGGTGGGATACCCATCTCAAAGAGGCCCATATATAACATGATATGCCTTCAGCCCATTGGCTTGAGATGCATGCACGAACACAGGCGCCTGATAGCATCACCCATGTCTTGCACTCTTGCTAGGTTGATTGGGCCAGCTCACTTGACTGCTAGTACCAGGGGTTCTCGCAGGAACCTCTAGTGCTATCTTTTTTCCTTTCCTGCCCCCCCCCCAGCTTGGTTCGATGTGGGTTTTCGCTGATGATGGGCTAGAAACCTTGGCTACTAGTTTTGTATTGTTTCTTTATCTCTCATCCTCTTGGTAGTATAGTAATATTGTTTGGCCATCATATTTGTTTTCTGTTCTGAGTCGGTTACATTTCCCTAATATCAATTACCGTTTCTCGATGGTTATTGACATGTTTGCAGCCAAATAGGTCTGCTTTCGCGACATCCTGGCATACATTAATCGTTTTCCCAAATGACTTATCTGATTTTGATTTCAGATAGAAATGTGAAATTGAAAGTGGTAAGGTATTTCTGGATTCTAGACCATACCCTACCGTTTTTGTCCCTACGTAGGCAGAACTCAGACTTGATTCTATTGGAAGCCACACATTGTCCTCCATGCTCATCAATATCTTTGTTTCATGTTGGAGTATGTTATTGAGTTTTCATATTATAGCGGTGGGTTTTTTTTGACAACATATTATAGTGGGTTGGATCATGGAGGAATTGTGGCAGGGATTAGAGTATGCATATGCATCCACTAGCGGTTTAAGTGTTGATATTTGGCATAGCGTAACCTTCCACATGGCCTGCAGGAGGACCTGGACAGTGAGTCAGTGACACGGATGGCGAGCTCAACGAGTGAGCAGTGAGCTTGATCGACTGGTCTTTCACAGCCTTTTGCTTAGCTTCTGTTATACGTGGTGGTGCAGTCAGAGATGGCGGGTCTCCCAAGTACAAGATGCGTGTGTGTGGCCTATGCTTTTTCTTTGTATATGTGCGTAGTATGCAGGCTCAGATGGAGAACATATGTTTTTTCATAGTATATGTACGTAGTATGCACTGAATGACGAGTCATCTAAGGAACACAGTCTTAGGACCTGTTTGGCCATTAGCTGCTAATTGGTCACAGCTAATATTAGCTAGTTTGATCCAACTAGTGAAATAATTATTGGTTGAGTACTCATAACAATTAGCTAAACTATTAGCTAGACTTGTTTGGATCCAAGAAGATAATTATTAGCAGCTACTGTACTCACCCATGCATGTTCACTTCGAAACTGGATCGGAAGCACCAGCACCAGCACACTGTTGGAAGGAAGACGTGTTCTTCTCGGCACAACATCAGCTCCGGCATGTCGATCGAAGCGGTGTGCACTGTGCAGACGACACGGGAGGAGTAACCGCCTTGATCTCGAACTCGAAGCAGGTCCTTGCTTAGTACTTGGGGTCGTACACGATTCGAATGGCGCGGCGGTGGAGGGAGGAGCTTGACGCTGCTAGGACAAACTTATCACTCAGCAGTCAGCACCTCGCATATCCTCGTCCTTGACCGACGTCCTATCGTCTCCGTGCGACCGTGCCCCACGCCGCTGCCCTCGACCAATGCCGCAGGGTCCGAGGCACCGCTGCCCTCGACCAATGCCCCCACAGGGCTGTACCAGATCGGTGCGGAGGAGGGGAACATGGAAGTGGTGAAGATGTGAGTGGACCTTCGAGGAAAATTCCTAAGGTCAATCTTAACGAGGGTTTATCGGCATTAAATACGTTAACATGACATTAAATACGCTAACATGACAGTGTATTGATGAAGAGAGGGAGATGAACTCTTCTGCACTTTTTTCAAAATACGAGTGTATCGAAAACTAGAACATGAAACCGAGACTAGCCTAATTCGTTGGATCCTAGCTGGAAACCAAGAGTTATCTTTTCTCTCTCCTCCTCTTATCACTCTTTGCATGTAAGCAAAGTGCTAATTATAAGGTGGCTTTGTATATGAGCTAGCTAGGATGTCCCGAATGCAATGCTAATAATTATCTAGTAATAGTTAGCAGGTACTCTCTCCATTCCAACTTACTATAACTATGGCTTTATTCTATGTCAAACTACTCTAAATTTGATTATTGTTTTTATTAAAAACATATTAACACCTACATGTTTAAATAAATACTCTATCAAAACCAAAATATATTTTATGAAAAATTGTTTAATAAAACTATTTAAGGTTGTATGCTTCTATAAACTTGATTGAAGTTAAAGAAGTTTGATTTAGGCTAAAGCCCAAGGGAAGTATAATTTGCAATGGAGTATTGTAGATAGCTAATTAAATATTAGTACTGGGGCCTTAGTTTTATTTTTCCGTACCCAAATTATAATGGCAACGGGAAATTTACCGTCGGGGATGGCTTCCCGCGGAAAGGAATCTTTGGATGGCTAGATGGTGAGGAGGGGTGGGGTGCGGTGAGGGGTTGAATAGCCTAATTAAAAATTTCTACAAGACATAATACTAGACAAAACATTACAACTAGTCAACGACTAATAGAACATGAGACAACTACCATAACATGGAGGTGACTTCATGCAACATAACGTAAAACAAAAACATATAAGTTTTACCAAACAAAGGTTGCATGTGCAGGATACCATATATAACACCAAGACACTGTATACGTTTATATACTGGCTTTTTGTGATGTACAAGGTTTAATGCAAGCAACCAATCACACACCCACAAACAAATTCAAAGATGAGATGAGATTTATTTTATGGTTGGCGATGGATGTGCTTGTTGGCTGCTGGAGGAAGCGGACGGGATTAGCTGACGCCGTCGAACTTGCTGCTCATCAGAGACAAGGTCGCGCTCGGCAGCACCCGGTTCACCTGAGGTTGCTCTGCATCCACAAAACAAACAATAATCAGTAATGATTCCTGCCGTGGTGATCCATAAATAAATAAATAGACAGATAAAAGCATGATTACTCTTGACGGCCTCCAGCTCCGGCGGCGTGAGCCTCGCCGAGAACCCGCTCATGACGTTCCTGTAGTTGTACAGGATCGCCGCCTTCGCCTTCGCCTCACTGCACATCAGATAGATCATGCATCATGGATCACGATGAGGTTTCCGTTCCGACGATGCATTTATTCAGAGATCGATGGCGGTGCACGTACCTTCCGAGGGCGGCGGCGAGGATGCCGAGCTGGTACGCCTGGCAGTCGACGCCCGGCGGGTGTGGGTTGACGTAGACGAGGTAGTTGGCGGCGTGTTCTGCCTCCGCAGCGCCGGCCATGCCGCCGGTGGCGGCGGCGGACGCCGTTGCGACGGCGAGGAGGAGGAGGAGACGGACGAGGGGTACGGTGGATGCCGCCGAACGCTTCATGGCAGGTTGCCCGGTAACTATCTAGGTTCGTCCAGAGAGCCGGCCAGATCGTCGATAGATCTCGGCGATGCGTTCATGTTATAGCCGCATTCGTGAGGACGGCAGGAAATGCCGCTGCTGCACTGCACGTCCTCCAAAAATAGGAACCCCAAGATAACAATAATCTGCCAAATTTTAAAAATCTAAATAATGCAAACTTCTTCTACGTTGATGATCGATTACATGCATGCTTGTAAATTCGCATGTCTCTCATCTGTAGTAAGTATTACAAAGGAACGTATTGTACATGCAGAAGCCACGTTTGATTCAGCAGAAGAAGAACAATGAACAATGCCTAGTCACACGGATGGTCATCAACACAATGCATGCATTGCATGCCATGGATGGATGGATGGATGGATGGAGCAATATACATGGTCGTCGAGCAACACTAACAATGCACAAGTAGCAACTAGTTCAATTCGGGGTCGTGGACACGGGCGCGACGGCGGCGGCGCCGCGCGGGACGTGCTCGGTGACGTCGTAGAGCTCGCCGTCGCCCCAGAGCGCGTACGCCTCCTCGCCGTGGACGGCGTCGTCGCCGACCTCGAGCTTATCCTCGGTCATGCGCAGCGGGACGACGGCGTTGATGGCGACGCAGATGATGGAGGTGACGGCCACGTTCCATCCGATGATGAAGAGCGCGCCCGCCAGCTGCTTCCCGAGCTGCGCGCCGCCGGCGGTGCCGCCGTAGAAGGCGCCCCGGGAGTTGGTGACGGGCAGGAAGAGCGCGCACAGGGTGGGGTCGGCGAGGAGCCCCGTGAGGATGCCGCCCAGGAGCCCCGCCACGCCGTGCGTGTGGATGACGCCCAGCGTGTCGTCCACGTGCTTCAGCAGCCGAGACCGCTTGTGCAGGATCATCATCGTGTACCAGGGGACGCTGCCGGCCAGCACGCCCATCACCATGGCTGCCCAACCCTGCACCACCCCTGCATTGCATGCATGTCCATTCGATCCGTCAGATATCTAGCTCATTCTCATGGTATATCGGCAAAGATAATTAAACCATGTTTACATGCGTACAAGAAAATCGTCATTATATTGGTACACAAAATTAGGCGCAACTAAGTATATATATAATAATGCCGACAGCAGACAGTGAAGTATATATGAACGTCGCAATTGACAAGCAAGTTGCGTTTTCTTTACCTTTCGGTGTCATACATAATTAATTGTAACTTTGTCCACAAGTAGTACCGTAGTGTGCAAAGGAAATGTAAAAAAGAGACAAGATTTGACTTTGACTTTACTGATAAGTACTGACAAATAAGCAAAGCAGGTACGATAATAAACTGGCACACACATGAGATTCCCGATTCCTGACGGAACTGTGCGGCTCAGTATTTTATTTTTATGTATATATACCAGTCACATCAGGGAGGGAAAAAAAGAAGAAGATTCTGTGGATACTCTCTACGTACATATGTGGCGTTGCACTAATTGGAGACTCGATTAGTATAACTACTACAAACTTATCGTCATAGTATATATATATATATATATATATATATATATATATATATATATATATATATATATATATATATATATATATATATACTATTGGTTATTATCTGTACAAAATAGTCAACTTGGCGCGGACCAACGGCTAATAAGAAACTTGATCAGGACATTTGAGTTAGGTGCACCAGCAACAGAGGTCACCATGGTAATTGTACCGATCGATAACTATAGTTTGTTTTTACCGTACGTCATGTTTAAGTCAAGTTTTTTTTGTAACTCTGATTAAAATTATAAATAAAAATATTGCCACTTTCAATACCAATTAGATTAATGTACTATCAAGGCATATTCCATGCCAGATCCAACAAATTAAAACTAATCACATATGCTGTTGCGTTTTTTTCCTAGAAAACTCTGTCAAAAAAAAAAAGGCTAGCCAGACAAGTTTCACTTTTCTGAAACAAATAAAAGGAGTACTAATACTGCGTTTTACTGACGCATGCAATGGTAAACGCAATGCACATGCATGCATATCGTACGTCCGCAATGGCAGTGGCCTCATGCATGTTGCTTCTGCAGGGAACCCGCCTCCCGTTTTGCTTTGCTGGGCACCAAAACCATTTTTTGAATTCAAAGTCAACCATTCAACGCCGTAGTCTAGTTTGCATACCCAGGATATGTTGGTCTTAAGAATCTAGAGCGAGCACGATGTATGTTCACACCAACACGCACGTATCTCCTTACCTCCGATCGAGGAAGAGGAGAAAATTAAAAAAAAATCAGAATCAGAGGCAGGGACGACGATGGGATCACCTGCGGCGGGCGTGATGCAGACGAGTCCGGTGATCATGCCCTGGACGGCGCCCACGACGGAGGGCTTCTTGAAGAAGACGACGTCGAGGCAGGTCCAGACGACGAGGCTCACGGCGGTGCAGATGTTGGTGTTGAGCACCGACATGGACGCCACCACGTTGGCGGCGTACGGCCCGCCGCCGTTGAACCCGGCCCACCCCATCCACAGCAGCCCGGCGCCGGTGAGCGTGAACAGGATGTTGTTGGGCGGGAACCGCTCCCTGTCCTTCCGCGCCCGGGGACCCACCCAGTAGGCCGCCGTGAAGCCGGCGAACCCGGCGGAGAGGTGGATGACGTAGCCGCCGCAGTAGTCGATGACGCCCCACTGGAAGAGGAAGCCGCCGCCCCACACGGAGAAGGCGCCGACGGTGTAGGAGAAGGTGAGCCAGAGCGGCACGAACAGCATCCACGCCGCGAAGCTCATCCGTCCCAGCAGCGACCCGGCCACGAGAATCAGCGTGATGGCCGCGAACACGCACTGGAAGTACACCACCGTCGCCATCGGGTACAGCGGCTCCGCGGCGGGGGTCTCGATGGTTCTCCCGTCGGCGAGGTAGTGCACCGTGGCGGGGAGGTCGGCCTGCCCCACGAGGTAACCCTGGTTCAGCGCCGGGCGAGCCTTGCCCCACAGCGGCAGCAGCTTGTCGCCGAACGACATGTTGTAGGCCCAGGTCACCCAGCAGATCCACACGGCGGCGAACGCGTAGAGTGCCATGAAGGCGGAGTTCACGGCCCACTTCTTCTTCACTACGCCGCCGTAGAGCACCACCAGGCCAGGGAAGCTCTGCAGCCCCACCAGTGTCGCTGCCGTCAGCTGCCACGCGTTGTCGCCCTTGTTCAGCCAGTCGGGCGACGCCGCGGACGTCTGGTACGCCAGTGGCATCGTCCCGGACGACGACATGTTGCCGACGACCTCGACGACTCTCTGCTCTCGCTGCTTATTGGGGTCAGTTGTGAAATGGAAGAAGCTGCGGAGTGCGGACTCCCCAACCCATGGACGACTTGGCAGCTATATAGGGCCAGTTTAGATGGGAATTTTTTTGCAAAATGCTACTGTAGCAGTTTTCGTTGTTATTTGACAATTAGTGTCTAATTATAGTTTAATTAGGCTTAAAAGATTCGTCTCGTGGATTTTGTCTAAACTGTATAATTAGTTTTATTTTTTATTTATATTTAATGCTTCATGCATGCGTTCAAATATTCGATGTGACGAAAAATCTTAAAAAATTTGGCATTTTGGGATGCAACTAATTGGTAAGTTTGTTTAGGATTTAGGGTTTAGTGCGTGGGGGGTTGGTGAAGTTAGTGGCCACAGCGTGCGACTCCAATCTCTAGAGAAAGAGAATATTGCTCTATTAGTCTTTGGGGGTAGGAGGAGATGCACGTGGTGGCGGTGCACTTTACACGGGCGTTTGAATATTCTTGGAGCGAGTAAGTTCGTTGCCTGTCGCTGTGAAGGGTAGTACGTGTAGGTCCATGACCATTCCCAGCTTTTCAGACTTTTCTGTGATATAAATACTACATTGACATATATAATACTTGATTAACCAATTAATATATTTGTGGATGGCAAGAATGATTCCATCTGCAATCTGCTAATTGGTGCACTGCTTTACTGTTTGAACTGACACTCAGTAATTTTTACTTCCATTTGAACTCAGTTGTTGAAAGCTCTAGTTTGGTTTTAGTTAATTGATAAAACTCTAAATGCTAACCTAATTTATCAAAGTGATTATGAGATAGGTAGCACTACTCCAAGTGATGAAGCAATGACGAAGATCATGACAATGGTGATGGCATGGTGATGATGAAGTGCTTGAACTTGGAAAAGAAGAAAGAGAAAAACAAAAGGCTCAAGGCAAAGGTATAAATTGTAGGAGCCATTTTATTTTAGTGACCGAGACACTTAGCGAGTGTGATCACATTTAGGATTGATAGCCGTACTATTAAGAGGAGTGAAACTCGTATCGAAATGCGGTTGTCAAAGTGCCACTAGATGCTCTAACTCATTGCATATGCATTTAGGATCTAGTGGATTGCTAACACCCTTAAAATGTTTGTGAAAATATGCTAACACATGTGCACAAGGTGATACTGTCGATACGGGACCCATGGGGTTTCCCACGGAGAAGAGAGAAGAAGACCTAGTCCAACTAGGATTCCCTACATGTAATCCTACTAGAACTAGTTACACATAATCCTACTAGGATCTCTACTTTGTAACCGACTAGGACTCCCGCCTCTTCTAGACTATATAAAGGAGGCGGGGGTCCCTAGACCTATCTAGAGCGCATGACATAACCAGCATGAACTCACAACCACAACAAATAGCGCAGGGCGCAATATACTATCCACCCCACACTGGACGTAGGGCGCCGTGATTTTCCGGCGTACCGAACCAGTATAAATCGTTGTCTCGGAGAAAGCACGGGGCTGCGGGATACATAGCCCCAGAATTTTTTGAAGACAAGAATTCACCCAAAAGAACCCCGGACATAAGAACGGAGGTTGCATGCCATGAAACTACTCGGATGATGGTTTAATCCAAGACTAAAGGGCCGCAGGAAAGATGCCACAAAACTACTCGGATGATGACATAATCCAAGTCTTGGGGACTACTTCAGAACACAAATTTTCAAACAACATAAAGGATCAAGACCCTCCAACTTTTTGTTCCAAATAGCAAGAGGCTCAGGGGCGACACTCAGTGAGTGCACTTTTTCTTCGAAAAAACGCACGTCACCAAAAGACTTCCTCAACGCAGACCACTTCAAAACATTACGACAAAAAGAACCCGGAACGAGCCATATTCGAGTTCTTTTTGATAAAACTTCAACGAACAATCAGAGCAACTTCAAGACAAGATCATCCAGCTCCTTGTTCCAAATAGCAAGAGGCTCGGGGGCTACAACCAGATGGATGTACTTTTTCTTCACAAAGCACTCACCACTCAAAGATCCCAATAAGCGCTACAAGGTTTCACTCCAGAAAGCACTCGGATAACATTTTGTTCCTACCCAACAAGACTTGAAGGAGCAAAGCGAGACTTTCAGAGCTCAACCATGAAGTGCTCGGGGGCTTGTCGATGCGGGACCCACAGGATACCCCGCAAGGGAGAGAGAAGATCTAGTTCAACTAGGATTCTTCCCATGTAATCTTAGTAGTAGAACTATTAAGTAATCCTACTAGGAAATCTCATTGTAAATCGACTAGGACTCTGGCCTCCTGACTATATAAAGGAGGACAGGGCTCCTAAGAGAAGGAGACGACAATTGTACAACATAACACTTCATAATCAATCCAATGCAAAGGCTAACGCCATTGGGCGACGGTCGTTACTCGATCTACGATCGAGGGTTCGAACCAGATAAATCGATCGTCTCTTCGTTTACCATCGAGTTCAACATACGAAGCTCGAACATATCTTGCCGGGTACCCCGTGGCGAAGCTATCGATGGTGAAACATCGATAGTCTGTCGATGTTTTTACATATCGGCAACCCGTCACGGGGTACCCGGGGACGGTGATTTGTTCGGAGGGTATCGGCATTTGTAGGAACTCGATGGTAAGCGCAGGAGACAACGATTTATATCATTTGGTTCGCACGCCGGAAAATCACGGCGCCCTATGTCCAAAGTGTGGGGTGGATAGTATATTGCGCCCTGCGCTATTTGTTGTGGTTGTGAGTTCTGTCGGTTATGTCTGTCGCTCTAGATAGGTCTAGGGACTCCTGCCCTCCTTTATATAGTCTAGAAGAGACGGGAGTCCTAGTCGGTTACAAAGTAGAGATCCTAGTAGGATTATGTGTAACTAGTTCTAGTAGGATTACATGTAGGGAATTCTAGTTGGACTAGGTCTTCTTCTCTCTTCTCCGTGGGAAACCCCATGGGTCTCGTATCGACAAGCCCCCGAGCATCTCATGGATGAGCTTCGGAAGCCTTCTTGTTCTTCTTAGTCTTCGTTGAGTTGTTGTAAATCCGTTCGAGGTTCTTCTTGAAGTGAAACCTTGAGATGGTCTTCTTTGTCTTTTCTTCGGCTGATGTGCACTTTTGGATAAAAGTGCACTCAGTGAGTGTAGCCCCCGAGCCTCTTGCTTGTTGGGACAAGAAGCCAGAGGGTCCCTTTAGTCTTCTTGGTTGCTCCGAGTTCTTTTTCGGTGGGTGCAATTTTTCGTAAAAATTGCACTCACTGAGTGTAGCCCCCGAGCCTCTTGCTTTTGCTTACAAAAGTTGGAGGGTCCAGATTCTTGTCTTCAAAAATTTTTTGGGGTTATGTATCCCGCAGCCCCCGAGCCTTCTCCGAGTACTTTTCTTTAGAATAGAAATCGGATGAAGGGTCTTGATGTGTTGTCTTTGTTGTAGTCTTGAGTACTTGTATTCTTGGTCTTTCATCCTTGAATTCGAGCCCCCGGGCGTAGTTGAAGCGAATGCCGAGCCCCCGAGCTTAGTGTTTGACTAAGCCGTGAAGCTCTTCGGAGTTGTTTTTTATTCATCCAGATCGTTTCTAGACTTCTCTGGGTCTTGATGTACCTCTTCCGAGTTGTTTGCACTTCGTCCGTGTTCTTTCGAACTTGTATGTACCTTATCGTGGTTGTTTTACGATTTGACTAAGTCGTGATGCTCTTCCGAGTTGTTTTTATTCATCCGGGTTGTTTTCTAGACTTCTCTCGGTTCTAGATGTACCTCTTCGAGTTGTTTGCACTTCCGTCCGTGTTCTTTTTCGAACTTGTATGTACCTTATCCGGGTTGTTTTTCGATCAATCCGGGTTCTTCTTGAATTTGTCTTGGTACTTGCGGCACCTCTTCGGGTTGTTTTATGATCGATCCGGGTTCTTTCTGGATTTGTCTTGGTACTTGCCGTACCTTTGTCGGGGTTCCTTTTGATCAATCCGGGTTCTTTCGAGCTTGTCTTGGTTCTTGCCGTACCTCATCGGCGTTCTTTTTTGATCAAACCAGTTGTTTCTACTTTTGTCTAGCCCTGCACTTTGGGTTTTCTTGTGTGCCTTCCTCTTTTGGCTTGGCTTCCGTATCCGAAAGTTGTTATGTAGATCGCGTGTTCTTCTTGCTTAAATCGTATCCGAGTACTCGGACTTTCTCGGCCGAGTAGTCGGTCTTGGCTTGCTTGTTATCTGTCTTGATGCATGGTTGGACATCTCGTGTGTTCAAGTAGTCGGACATTCGAACAGACGAGTTGCTATCTTTGGTCTCTTGACGGCTTGTCTTTCGTGGCTTGGTTACGATTTGGCTTCGATATTTCGGAGTTGTAGATGTGATGACATACGCATATGACTTGACGTGTGCTTGCACCTTGTTGGATCGTTCGTGTCCCATCATGATTTATGTGTCCAATAAATTGATGGCTTCCTCATTTGCATGCATGCAGATCCGTATGTGCATGTGTATTCAGTGTATATATGCATATATCTTAATCTTTTGCTCGCTATTGCTTCCGGACGTCATATGTGCATGTCGTGGTTGTACTCTTACGTAAACAACTCATGCGTTATCTCGACGAAATCCCTCGATTTGTCGAGTACTTTTCTTTTCTTCCTCTTTTGTGATCCGTCGAGTGCTTTGTCCGCGCTATGACTTGTTAGATGTAGATCTTTGTGTTGACAATTTTTCACCTGCGCTATGTAAAACGACTCGGCATAGAATGTTGCCTTGACAAACTTCGTATCCGAAAGTGCTTTCTTGAGTGGCGCTTGTGCTTTTCCCGAGGAAAAAGTATTCCTATCTGGATGTAGCCCCGAGCCTCTTGCTTTTCGGAATGAAGAGTCTGGAGGGTCTTTTTAAGCTTAATTTGGTCGACTAGTTTTAGGTGTTAGCTTTTAGCTACCCTCATCGGGCGGGCTCAAGCGTCTTTTCAGCTATTTTGCTCTCGGTAGGGATGCTCTGGCAT